CATTTTCAAACTCACTAGCGAATAGGCTAACTGCTAACTGGATCCCCCTAAATGATTTACATTGTTATGCGAGGCGTAATAATGTATATAAAGCAGCTTCCCTGGTCAGCCTAAGAATGGCCACAGTCAGTTGGCGTACAAGTCATAAATTGATAAATTCAATTAACCCACCGATATTTACTATATGGGGGTAGCCATCTTGAACATTGCTTGAATCTAGTGAGTTTGCAAATTGGCTGCCCTGAGACTTGCTGTAAAATGTACCAAAATCAGGTATTTTGTCTGGAACCAGAGTGTTGTTCAATTATTTTTTAAACTTAGTGAAAGGTTTAACTATTATAGGTGATTTATGCATGTCACTTTGATTTGTAAAATCTACTCAATATGGCTGACTGATGGCCATTTTGTTTTTGACAGATTGTATTTCAGACATATATTTTGTGCACGTTTTGAGCAGTTCACTTCAAATGTTATACACAGACAGTAGACATAGCCATCATGGCCTACATACCACATACAATAAATTGGCATCCAGTTAGTGATTACTGACTGCTGAACATTTTGATTGTATGACAAAACACTAAAATCAAGTATTTTGACATGCCCTGAACCAGATCACGCATGATATTGTGCTTAAAAATAAAATTCATTCTTATCAAACACCAGTGAACTGACTTACTCTTATTTATTGCCATGACAAAAGAGGGTGTCTTCTGTACCTCAGTCTCACTACATCTAGATCAAACGCCTCCTATGCTAGAGGGTGGTATAACTTGAAACTTAAACTGCGGCTCCGGTAAATGACGCTTAGCATGGTACACTGATTTGTGGTGTTCCACAAAAACACTCCTTCCGACAATCACAATTTGTGGGGTATGGTATGGTCATCCACAATCATGAATATATAAGAGGATACAATTGTGATGTTAGTTTACAAGTTTCGCAAGATTTCAGCACAATTTCCACTATGTTTCAAGTAGTTGTTATGAGTGCTCAAAATTAATGTCAATCATGGGTTTATGACCGTCCACTTTTTGGGGATTGTAGAAGGGCGAATCCATGAACGAAGTCTTAAAGAGGAATGGTATTCACCCACTATCTCTAAAAAAAAAAAGATGACCCAAGCGAGTTTGCATGCTCGTGAGAGTGCGCGATGCGCCTGGTTGACGCAGAGGTAGTCATGATGAACTACTAGTGTCACACAGTCGAATTACTTATTGTTTTGGGAATTATTTTCATCATCAGGCGGTATTTCACTGCCCTGCTAAAAGTGTGAAAATCTAACTAAAATATTTATTTCAGATATAACAAAAAATAACTAATAACTCTAATGCATTTATACTCTAAATAATAGCTTGGCTCAAGTAAGACTATATAAAAATTTATATTTATTGTGACCCAATTCCCCACGTGTTGTAAATTGTACCAATAGTTTGTGGACGCCTGTTTTTATTTTCACAACACAACAACATTATTGTCTAGACACATTATGGCAAATGGTATACAGTAACTAATGGACCATGGTGCAAGATATTGATAATATGATAGTTCCTATTTTGGAATAATTGGTAGTCTGAAAAGGGCCTTTTGGTTTGGAATGTACCATGATGTTAAATGCACTTCCAAATACAGTATTTATATTCATGTATGACTTTAAAACCAAAATATGAAGAAATATTTGACTTTAGTACACTGTATGTGGCCTGAAGAGGGAGCTGTCACATCTGACTTTCTGAGAATACATTTTGTACCACATGCGTTTATCTGAAACCATCATGCATTTCTCTGTTTCAGGTTGCAGAGCGAGCTCTCTACTACTGGAATAATGAATACATAATGAGTCTTATTGAAGAGAATTCCAATGTGGTTATGCCCATTATGTTCCCTGCACTGTACAGGATATCCAAAGAACACTGGAATCAGTAAGTATCTCAAATCATTTACCAGGATTATGCACATTTTGCCCCAGCCACCTAGCATTGCATTTATACTGTGGTGCCACCAAGCTATGGCATTTTTTTCTGTGGTACCACCTAGCAATGTGTTCATACTGTGGTGCCACCTAGCAATGCATTTATTCTGTGGTGCCACCTAGCAATGCATTTATACTGTGGTGCCACCTAGCAATGCATTTATACTGTGGTGCCACCTAGCAATGCATTT